GAGAGAGAGAGAGAGAGAGAGAGAGAGAGAGAGAGAGAGAGAGAGAGAGAGAGAGAGAGAGAGGAGCGATAAGATAGAGTGCACAAATCAACTCGCATGCACTCATACTCCATAGCACACCATAGTACAAACACGAGTCAGAAAACTCCGCTCATACTCATCATGTTCAACTAAAAAAACTCAGGCATGCACTGCCCCGACGCGTTTCGCTGTCGGCGTGTGTCAACAGTCTCATCAGGGGGCTAGGAACTCAGGAATGCATCTATTATGCAGCGGAGAGATAGATCCTTCTCTCCCTCTCATCTTTAAGTACTATTCTTCAGTCTGGATCTTAGTCTCGGAAACCCGATGTTATCAGTGAGAAGCTCTGCCTACCCGCTACCTATCCTACCCCGGCTACCTTCTTCACTACCCGCCTAACAAGTTCCTCGTCCAAAACACTCTGGCGCACACACTTACCCACTTGGTCCTTCCTCCCACTATTCTTCCCTTGTTCGTCTCTGTCCCTACCTCTCCCTCCATACCCCGTCTCTGCTCCTTTCTCTCCCATTCTTCCCTCTTCCCTCATCGCCATCCCCTTCCTCTTCTTTGCCAAATTGGAACCTGATTTCTCGCGTCGTCTACAGCGGCACGAAGATTAGCGCTCTTCGGCAGAGTCGTGTGTTCTGTTACCAAAGAAAGCAAGCCAAAAACGCGGAATTTGAGCTTAACTTCGATCAATATCAACTTCCCGGTCGGCCTGCTCATCCGCCTCCTCTACAAGCCCGATCAATGGTACACGGTTACCCATGCTCTCCTCCTGAATTCGGTAATCCGGGGACGGCACTTGGTCCCCTTTTTTTATGGTCAAACCGTCCTGCATCTATATGGACAAACAGGGGTCACAAACGTCCGTACTAAGGGAAGGAAAATGAAAAAAGAGAGAAAAAGAGAAAATGAAAAAAAGGGAAAACCTAAAAAGAAGAGGAAATAGAAAAAGCGAAAGAACAAAAAAAAAGAAATACAAATACGAGAAGAAAAGAGAGACATACGTAGGTTCGGAGAGCCGAGCTAAAGTACATGCTAAATTAAAAAGAAAATGGAAAATAAAAGGATAAAGGAAAAAGAAAGGAAAAAGGAGAAAAAACGAAAAAGAGAAAAAGAGAAAGGAGAAAGGAGAAAGGAAAGAACGAAGAAAGAGAACGAAATAAAAGAAACGAAATAAAGAAAAAAGGGCCGAAGAGAACAGATAGAGAAACGAATTCGTCCCGGTATGACGGGCATATCTACTGTCTCGCCTATACCCGTACCCTCGAGCCACACCTTCTTTGGTCCACGTGTACAGAATTGGAAGGGAACGACTACAACCTACCCTCGAGGGGTGTGTACCAGGTCGTCGACGTAACTGACCTCTCCACGTGGGACCCACTCATCCGGCGCGTCCCCATAGGAGAGACCAATGCGGAGGCTGAGGAGGAAGAAGAAGAAAGTGAGGAGGCCGGTCACCTCCAGTATACGGAAGGCGAGACGGTGCCAAAGGAGGACGAATCGGGAGCTGAGTCGGACGATCCCGACTATCGGGAATCGGAAGATGCCGATTGGGAAAAAGCCAGTTCGGATCGGGTGGAATCGGGAGAGGAGGA